CACTTTGGGGCTGGGGGATGTCAGGACCGGTCACAGCGACTGGGGGAGGGGGCCTGGGGTGGATCCCAAGGCTTGGGGGTGGATCCCGGGGGTGGATCCCAGGGGATTGGGGGTGGATCCCGGGGGTGGATCCCGGGTGGATCCCTCGGGATCCGTACCTGCAGAAGCTGTGCAGGCAGATCCCAGGGATGGATCCCAGGGGTTGGGGTGGATCCCGGGGATGGATCCCGGGGCTCGGGGGTGGATCCCGGGGGTGGATCCCGGGTGGATCCCTCGGGATCCGTACCTGCAGAAGCTGTGCAGGCAGTCCCGCAGCAGCACCCCCTGCCCCGCCGGCACCTCCTGCAGGCAGATCCCGCATTCCAGAGGCTCCGGGTTCGGAACCAGCTCCGACTCCTCCGCCCGCAGCAGCTGCTGGAAATTCCTCTGGCGCTCGGCCTCCAGGGCCTGGGGGGGAAACGGGAATGGGATCAGGAATGGGATCGGGAATGGGATCAGGAATGGGATCGGGAATGGGATCGGGAATGGGATCAGGAATGGGATCAGGAATGGGATCGGGAACGGAATCAGGAATGGGATCAGGAATGGGATCAGGAATGGGATCAGGGAATGGGATCAGGAATGGGATCAGGGAATGGGATCAGGAATGGGATCAGGAATGGGATCAGGAATGGGATCAGGAACGGGAGCGGCTCCAGGACGGAGCAGGAAGGGCTCAGGTCATGGAACAGCTGGGAATGGGAACAGGGAGGGACGGCCCCATTGGGAATGGGAACAGCCCCATATCCCAGAGATCCCAGTGATCCCAGTGATCTCAGAGATCCCAGAGATCCCAGTGATCCCAGACCTGCTGGCACTGGCGGGCCCCACAGACCCCATAGATCCCACAGATCCCAGTGATCCCACAGATCCCAGTGATCCCACAGATCCCAGTGATCCCATAGATCCCGCAGATCCCAGACCTGCTGGCACTGGCGGGCCCCACAGACCCCACAGACCCCACAGATCCCAGAGATCCCACAGATCCCAGTGATCCCACAGATCCCAGTGATCCCACAGATCCCAGTGATCCCACAGATCCCAGTGATCCCACAGACCCCACAGACCCCACAGACCCCACAGATCCCAGTGATCCCACAGATCCCAGTGATCCCACAGACCCCACAGATCCCAGTGATCCCGCAGATCCCAGACCTGCTGGCACTGGCAGGCCCCACAGACCCCACAGACCCCATAGATCCCACAGATCCCATAGATCCCACAGATCCTATAGATCCCACAGATCCCATAGATCCCCCAGACCTGCTGGCACTGTCGGGCCCCACAGACCCCACAGATCCCAGTGATCCCACAGACCCCACAGATCCCATAGATCCTGCAGATCCCACAGACCCCACAGACCCCACAGATCCCAGAGACCCCACAGATCCCAGTGATCCCACAGACCCCACAGATCCCATAGATCCCGCAGATCCCACAGACCCCGCAGATCCCACAGACCCCACAGATCCCGCAGATCCCAGTGATCCCGCAGATCCCAGACCTGCTGGCACTGGCGGGCCCCACAGATCCCATAGATCCCACAGATCCCAGTGATCCCATAGATCCCAGTGATCCCACAGACCCCACAGATCCCGCAGATCCCAGACCTGCTGGCACTGGCGGGCCCCACAGATCCCATAGATCCCACAGATCCCAGTGATCCCATAGATCCCAGTGATCCCACAGACCCCACAGATCCCGCAGATCCCAGACCTGCTGGCACTGGCGGGCCCCGTCGCGCTCCCTCTGCAGGCGCCGCTGCTCGGCGGGGTCGGGGCGGTGCCCCCCGGGAACGCGGTACCCGTCGGGCCGGGGGCAGCTGCACATCTCACAGCCCGGGCGGGTGGGCTTGTTCCGGAACGTGCACCGGGGGCACGGCCAGCCCTGGGAATGGGAATGGGATCGGGAATGGGATCAGGAATGGGATCAGGAATGGGATCAGGAATGGGATCAGGGCACATCTCACAGCCCGGGCGGGTGGGCTTGTTCCGGAACGTGCACCGGGGGCACGGCCAGCCCTGGGAATGGGATCGGGAATGGGATCGGGAATGGGATCGGGAATGGGATCAGGGAATGGGATCAGGAATGGGATCAGAAATGTTCCGGAACGTGCACGGGGGACACGGCCAGCCCTGGGAATGGGAATGGGATCGGGAATGGGATCAGGGAATGGGATCAGGAATGGGATCAGGGAATGTTCCGGAACGTGCACCAGGGACACGGCCAGCCCTGGATAAATGGGATCAGGGAATGGGATCAGGAATGGGATCAGGAATGGGATCAGGAATGGGATCAGGGAATGTTCCAGAACGTGCACCTGGGGCATGGCCAGCCCTGGGAATGGGATCGGGAATGGGATCAGGGATCAGGACCCAGACCCCCTCCCCACCCCGTACCTGCTCAGGTGAGGGTGGGCAGGATCCACAATGGAACGCTGGGATTGGCATCAGGGATTGGGATCGGGATCAGGGATCAGGGATCGGGATCGGGATCAGGGATCAGGATCGGGATCAGGGATCAGGACTGGGATCAGGGATTGGGATCGGGATCAGGATCGGGATCCGGGATCGGGATCGGGATCAGGATCAGGGATCAGGATCGGGATCAGGGGTCAGGATCGGGATCAGGATCGGGATCAGGGATTGGGATCGGGATCAGGATCGGGATCAGGATCAGGATCGGGATCAGGATCAGGACCCGGACCCCCTCCCCACCCCACACCTGCTCAGGTGAGGCTGGGCGGGGCTCGGGGGCTGTGGGCGGGGCCCCAGCGCTGTCCCGGAGCTGCAGCGAGTCCAGGTGAGCCTGGATGTCCCCGATGTCCCCGATGATGTCACCGATGTCCCCAGTGATGTCACCGATGTCCCCAGGGTCCGTCCGCTCCGGGAGCTCCGGGACACGGCCTGGGGACACAGCCGGACACGGCACGGGCTGGGACACGGGGCGGGAACGGGAATGGGAATGGGAACGGGAATGGGAACGGGAATGGGAATGG